TATTTGCCTACCAAACCGGGATATGAGTAACACTGACGCAAACAAATTATGCCTGTATACCAGATGTTCCTTATTAGCTTGTTCCTGATCCACCAGAGACTTATACCTTGCAGGCAGAAAATGCCATTTTTTGCTATTGCACAAGGACACTTGTGTTTTAAGGCCATTACTCAGTATTTTAATTTTCACTGTACCCTGGCAGAGTCATGTATTAAACATGTTCCCTGAAATCTTTCTTTCCCCCATCTGGTATGGTTTGCATGACTAGAGACCACTCACTAAAATTAAGAGTTTAGGACTTATCAGTAAGCTGGTATTCACTTACTAGACGCTGCAGTATAAAAATGAAAAAGATGAAATTAATTACTACCTTGAGAATCCCTAACTGTATTTGAACTGAAAAGAAAATTCATACTGCTGTTTTACTTCTTCCATAGGCACCCTGAACTCTGCAAATTATATAAAATTACAAGGACCATCCAGATATCAACCTTGACATGCTTGTGTAGAAAGAGCTTAAATAGAGTGTTTGTTGGCAAAAGCGAAAAGCCAAGAGATAAAAAGTATACTCTGTTCTTGTTTCTGCTATTATCAATATTGATCTGAAAGGCTGGGCTGATACACTGATCCTTGTTTCCCACTTTCTTTAAACTACTCCCACTGAGAAAAATGGCTTATTTCTCCATTGAGCTTGGAAGCACCAAGAATGTTGTTGAACAGATTCACACATTTCATGTTAGCTAACTGGCTTGCTCGTCCTCAATTTTCATCTGATGTTGACATTCTTTGATTTATGGAATTGCTAAAATTTGGCAAGAGATTCTTCAAAGACCGAATCTGAAACATTTTTATAGTCCCTTTTCCCTCAATGACTTTTCAATGTAGTAACTCTGCTCTTTAGGCTGAGTCAGAAACCTTACCAACAACAGTGGTTTTTGCACAGATCTGCTGAAAACATTTTAGCCCAAACTGTGTTATCACTCAAACTGCTTCAATCAGTACTGTACTTGCAGCCACTACAGGCAGAAAATACACCACTGTAAGAGTCAGACCATGCCATTCCCCCCTCCTCCCCCGAATTTAAATGTTTTTAGAGACAACAGCTTTGTGTTGCAAGAAAGTTATTTATTTAGAAACCTAAGCCTCACTGAACAAAGCAAAGTATGACTTAGTTCACTTTCCCATCCTTCATCTGGTTGTGGAAAGGAGATGACAACACATATTTCCATTGGCTTTTTATAACAAAAGAAACATGTAATTCCAAATGCATAAGGATTTGCTGAATTATGCAATTTTTCCTATCAGTGCTGTCTCCTTAGATGGCTGGTCAAGAGCTAAATTAATATTTTAAAGCCTCAAATAATTGTTAACATACTAGGAACTGCTCTGCTGCAAAGGCCAAGATGACAAACCCTCAGTGTTTCTGTAAATTGATTGTATGCACATATACTCCCTGCACTGATGAGAAGACATTTTGACATAACCTCCATGCTGCGTTTTCTTAGATATTCAGAAAGTACCCTAATGATTTCACACCGCTGAGAACTCAGTTTGGACTAATTCAGTTGCACACTCTAGCACTCATACAGTGTGTATTCTCAGCTGCATGCAAATTGCCTGAGAAAACACAAAGGGAAATAATTCCGACAATTACAATTACAATAATAACAACAATCATAACTTTCAAAGCCCCGTTCTCCCACCATACCGAGAGCCTTCCAAGAGATGGCATTAACCTCACCTGGTATCTGGGAAGCAAAGTGCGAGGCAGGGCTGAGGAGCCAACACTGCTACAGCCCGACTCAAGAATTCCCACCTGCAAACCACTCGGTTTGGAGCACAGCCTCTGCTTACTGCTGGTCCACCCCCACAGAACCTGAAGTTAAAGCCTGACTTCTAGACACCTGTGGGCATCTTTCGTTAACTTTGTCTGGGAAACAACTGTGCAGAGCAAAGTGAAAGCCAACTCCCATCCTGGTTTTAACTTTGCCCACGTTGTCCAACGGCCAAAACATTGTGAACACACCAAATGTGGGGAGACTGAGGTTTCTGGATCCGTGTACATTTTTCTTTTATACTTTTCTAACTGCATTACCTCCACCCTGTCACTGGGTACTCTTCCTCATGATACAGCTGGTGTGAGGTTCAGGGACATTTTTGCCTATCTGCTCAGCCTCTGCACAAGGGTAGGGTAGCACAGGCTCCCCCAGGGCATCACCCATTCAGCGTGCAGCGCTGCAAGCTCACCACAGCTGGCAGCACTCTAAGAGGAGAAAAATATTCCAGTTTAAGCTCTCTGGGACAAAACTGAGAATAGCACCTTGTTCTCACAATGATGATCCCTGTTCTGCTTATCAGATTTCACAGCATTATGCAGAAAACAAAGTATATCTGGCTGCCTGTTTCCTCGGGTAGGATCAGGTCCAAAAGGGCTTCCTTAATAAAACAGTAAGCTCTTGCACAAACATTGTGCTGCCACCTTTTAACAGAGTACACCAGAGCACAAAAGATAACAGAGCAACAAGCAGATGCAAAGCTAAACCCACACCGCTACCTCTTGATTTTCTGGACCACAATTCTTACCTTAAAAGTCAATTCTCTCATCAGAACTTCTGACATATAGGCAGAAAATAACAGTTTTTAATGTACTGTAATAACTGAAGTAGCTTTCTTATATTTTAGAGTAACTGGCTATACTTTTTAAGTACTTAAATTTTTTCCTTTAGTGACACATTGTCGGGGTCTTTGGTTCTTGTTTTTTTGAAGTTATTTTCTGAATTCTTTTAAAGTGACATAAAGACAGAGAAGTAATTAAATAGCCCTTCATAAATTATAATCTTTTCAGCATATAAAACGTTGATTTTTTTCTTCCCAGAGGGAAAACAAGTCTTTAACCATTTAGTAACTAGGAAAAGTTTTGATAGGAAAAGAGTCCATGTACTACTGTAAAGTACAATCTGATTTGAACAGCATATTATTGAGATTATGACAAATTTCAGGGGACAAACAGAACTACCAACTGCAACAATCAAGACTCTTCATGAACACCTGCTTAGGGACTTAATTTTGCTTTAATGGCCTATTACCAAGGCTTCTCTAACAAACTCCCTCGCCCCCCCAATCAATTCTGGATCAATACAGACACACATGCCCTGTGAAAAGCCTTCTGTTCTTAGGACAGGATTAAAAGATTCGTTAGTTTTATGATAGCTTGGTTAAAAGATGGAAATTAAAAAAAAAAAAAGAGAAGATGCACATATTCCACACAGTTTAGATCTCTCCTGCTTAACAAACCCAGCGTTTGCAAAGGTTTGACAGAAGGGAGGCAACTTTTTATTGATTACCACAGTAATAAGGCTCTAAAGAATCCCAGACTCTGTGAATGATCAATTAAAAGCCTGCCTGAGAGTCGGCTTCCACCAAAATTCACCGCCATTTCTTAGTGAAACTGAGGTGCTAGAAAACAAGGGCAGACAAGCAGTTTTTAAAAACAACTCTGCACAAACATGTACAAAAACTTTAAACAGAGCAGATGTCTGAGTACCGAAATAACATAAAGCTCTGATTTAGGTATATCAATTATTATTTATAACCTTTAAAATTATGCAAAAGATATTCCTTCACTGACTTCGCCAATAGCAAGTCTTTATTTTTTCTAAGTTAACCCCGAGATAAACTTTTCTTTTAACCAAAAATAAGACATGGGAAAAGTCTACAAAGGACTACAAATTCATTAGTTAAAACCCAAGAGCAGATAAAAAAGCATTTAAAATGTTGCACAACACAAAACCATGCTTTAATCTACAATTTGATCATGTTGTTACAGCTTCCTAGAACAGGATTTTAGGAAACATTTCCTTTATTGTGAAATGCAATGCTGTTTGAAGTATAAAATTAAGACATTTTTCCACCGAGCACACAGATTCATTGCACCAAGTACGAATGAATATTGCCTGCCCAAAGGAAACTACTTCTGTTTTCCATGTAGTTAATAAAAGTGAACAGTCGACTTTTCATTACAAGGCTACTTTAAAAGTAGTAAATGGTGTTTTCTCTATCTATCTAGTTATATCAGAGTCATGTGGGTTTTGGATAACTATATAGAGAAAACCTAGTCTGAACAGAAAAAGAACATTTTACTGGTACAACAGACTATTGTTATTCTTTAATAATGCAATTGTAAAGAAACACAGAGAACGTATATTCTGTATGTGTCAGTTTGGTTGTCTGAGCTCAGAACACAAATAGCACTGAAAACATTTCCAAGTGTTTTCTGGCATTTTGGGCTCTTTTAAAAATCTCCTCTGCTTACTTGAAAGCAAAAGAAATTCTAAAAACAGGCAATGATTTAACCGTGAGGGAGCAGGCACTGCACTCTGACTGTCCCTCGCAAACACACTGATTAGATCAACTTTTTGGATGCAAAGTAGTATTTCCTGCATAGATAAATTATTGAATTTTCGGTCTTTTTTGCTCTGCATAATCAGAAACTACAGTTTTTTTCTCTTAGAAGACAGTAACTTAAATGTAATCATTTTCCCACACATATTTACAGTTCTATTTTCAAAATCTTTTGCCTCAGTTGCTGAGTAAACAGAGTTCACATTTACTGAAAATGAGGACTTACACAGTTTGCCTGTAACCAGAAACACAGCTTTAAGACACAGAATATATAATGATTACATTTCAGCAGAGAAACTTTCTTATCTAGCTCACTGGTGAATAGCAAACAAACTTAATATACCCAGAAAGCAGAAAACAAGCAATCTATTTGCAAATGTCTCTTATTAAGATTAAGAAAAAGTGCTGGAAATCCTCATCGCTCACCGAAAACCTTACAATCACCTAGCAACCTATGTTACTGCTGCTTTCAATTTTGAACAGGCAGCCTTCACATTCAAAGATGCATCTGAGCCAACAGATGCAACTGTAAGTTTAAAGCAAAACAAAAACAAAAACAGAGATTATTTTTTTTTGTTATTTAAATAAAATGCCCCTACCTTTCTTCTGAGAGTACGATGGCGACTGCACTTGAGAAAAAGTAGGTTTTTCTTCTGTGAAATATTCAGGTTGGTTGTACTGATTCAGGGCCATGTCCATGTCAGAGTACTCGCTTTTAAACACGTTTCCAGGGTAACTACAGGTATAAGGCTGATTCACCGCCCAGGCCTGTTCCATATATATGTTATTACTGTGCAGGACCTGAGCATCACAACTGCTGTAACCCTGATTATCTTCGATATATGTGCAATAATCACTGGACTGCATGAAGCAATTGCTACCAGCAGCTGGGTGCACTTCATATATTTCTTGCATACAGTAGTTCATTTTGTTAGCCTATCTTAGCTTCTACTTTACGTACACACACACATGCATACACACGCAGGCATGCATACACATGGGTCGGGAGAGGAGCAATGAATATACACCAACAAAGTCGACTGCAAAACAGCCCGTTTTACTTCGGAGCAGCACCTGATGTGCTAAAATCCTATTTATATTGGGACGGCTTGTGAACTCCCCTGCCAGTCAAACATATTGGGAAGCAGATTTATGACAGTCAAAGGTCTTAATCTGTGACTGTAAGTTAATTCCAAGGGAAGATGGCAGGCAGGTAGCAATGACCACCAGACAAAGAAGCGACATCCCGACAACCCTCCTGTTCCCCTGTTTGTCTGGAATAATCATTTTATAAACCATTTCCAGCCTTTTCCAATATGATTAGAAAATGATTACTAAGGCAAGGACACAGTTATGTCACTGTAGTTGTCAACTTAAGTGTGAAGAATTATAAAGACTGCTTAAGAACTCCCAGAGGGGATACGCTGAAAATCCTAAAATCAATAATCCTGTTTTTCAGCATTAAACCATAGAAAATCCAATAGTGCTGTGCTGATGACCCGAACAGTAGTCTAGTTTTACAAAATTTAGCAACTTAATCTGTCATCAGCTTTATTGATTTTGTTTTACAGAATTACATGCATGAATCTCCCCAGCCTTCCACACATACACAATCCTCCCCACTGCCTGGTAATGCATTTACGGGAAAGCAGCTTTTCTAAACTTCAGTGATTTCAAGAGGTAATTTCTATTGAGTTCAACAGGTGGGAAACTTCAAAATAATATAATCAGCAAAAAGAACACTACTTAAACATTATCAATAAGCTAATTGCTTTGCTATTCTGCTTTGTTATCTTTTCTGTTTCAGTAATGAAGTACTCTTAGAGGCATTTCTTTTTTGACAACAGACCCAGTAGAGGAAGGTCTTTTTGCTCAGTTTGGCTCATCTATAAACTATGAACATGTCAATGCCACTACAACAAAAATTGTATGATCTTTTAATTGCTTAATGCACCCCGAACCTTAATATGGTTAGCATACCTTCTTTAATCAGTCATTATTTTTTGATCTAAAAGAAAATATTTTCTTTTTTAACTTATATATTAGCTGCTACTTGGGATTTTTACTAGGTAAAATGCTTTTTCTTTAAAGCACAGCTAAAATACAGTAGAATTTGTGAATTCAGTAACAAGACAGTATCTCTCTTTAATATCTGTTCTTATTATTAAGAAGCAGAATTATTACTGATTTGAAAATGAGATTTTGGTTTTCTTATTTCACTCATTTTAAACTATCCGTAGGATTGCCTAAATTTCCATTTTGCTTCTAGGATCTTTTTGCCCTTTTGCTTCTAGGATCTTAAGTGTACATCTAACAATCTCGACAAACATACATCCAAATGGTCCTCAAAAATTCCATGCAATAGGTAAGAAGACATGCACGTATTGCAAAGAGCCGACAGAGAAATGTTCTCCCTTCCAACACGCAACCTTAACTAACCTATCTAAATAAGAAGCATTACCAACTAGTGCCTAATTAGTACCAAATTCAGGACAAGTTCTTATGAGAATCAGAGAAGTTAAAATTCATGCTTGGATTATTTTTCCCCCCTCTAACTCTAACTCTAACTATAGAAGAAGCTTCTTTAATACACACTAATTAACTTGCTCAGAAAATAATGGAAATCTATTTGTTAAGTCGAAATGAACTCTTATCAAGACCAATCCTACTGAACCCAGTGAAGTTGCTTCCAAAATGAACTTATTCTGCTGAAACTCTTGATAGTTTAAACATCTTACTTCACTAAGAGTACTAGCAGTTCCTGACAACCCAGAAGGAAAGCCCAAATGAACCTTCAGTTGTTTACCATTATATAACTCATCAAACAGCATTGTGAAATAGCATACAATAAAAGTTAGTTTTCATTTTAGCACAGCCCCGTCATCTAGATTTTACAAACACTGACTTTGTGATGAAAGGCATGTCTCAAGCAAGATCCAAGTTTTCAAGAATGGATGTTCAGCACTTCACAAAAGATGACTGTGTTTCGTAAGAACTTCTGCAATAGTTGTTTACACAGAAACCCCCAAGCCATACCCATTTAGGTGATTGGTTGGTAATACTGCAGTGCATACAAATGCAACACAGAGTTTGCCAAGCTTACTTCCCCACACTCCTCAGAGAGAAAACATTCCCTGAGTGCAGTACGTGGGTTGTTCATTTACCAGAAAACGATCTCCTGTACAACCAACATGAATTTATGTGAGAGCTCACACAGAGGTAAGACTGTGCTATACAGGTTAGCAGAGTAGAATACCTAGATATTTTAACACCACCCAGAAAAAGTTTTCAGGAACTAGGCTTTAAATTCTTAGTGGGAATTTTTCCCCATGTGGATTTGTTTTGCTAGGTAAGTCAAAATTCCTATGAATTTTCCCATCTCTTGTTTTTTTCCTTCTGGTTTGATTTCGGTTTGCTACTGAAAAACTAACCAGAACTGAGATCCCGTGTAGTCAGAGCTGTCCCAGTCAGGATGGCACCTGAGGATATGGTACTTCAACATGGCACAGCCTGTGACTTACTTTCTGTTCCCAAATAAATCTCTCAAACATTTCTTATTTTCTATTGCTATGTAAATAATGGTTAGAAATGTGTCATACGTACTATTTTTGTCAAGAGTTACTGTAATGCTGCAAGGAAATTAAATTACATGTAACTGTGAAGGATGAGGAGAAAAAGAAAAATGGATGAAAGCCTTTTCCGAGGGAAAGAAAAAAGAATGATAAACACTGCCAGGGAATGGGGGTTCCTTACCTGTAATGTGCTAACATTAAAGAGGTTTATAGCACTGGAGATTGTTGTTCCCTTGGAAACAAATCAGTTCAAAGAACAGTGCAAAGACTTAACATCCTTATTAAAACCAAAATATTCCTAAAATACTTTGATTTTTAGTCTCAGGGTCCAATCCTGCGGGTCCTTTTCACATACCCCTTTGAATTAAACCATCTGGTAAAAGACGGTCAGACGGGGTCTTTATCAAAAGTCTGAAAGCAGAATAGAAAATAATATTAAAAGCTTTACTTTGTCCTGTATTCTGATTCAAATATTAGAGTCTTTACATCATGTCATGTTGAGCTTTCATTGCCTTCAGCGATGTAGTATCACACTTGGAATTTTATTACTTCACAAGTGTCTGATTATGTGAACACATGGAAACTAGTCACTATCAGAATAAAACCTTCAATTCAAGCAAACAGGACAGTGGTAAAACAGAAACTTTGATACTGTGACAGCAGAGGATCCAAAGCTTGAATCTCTCACAGTCGGTGGTGTCGTCAGTTCACTGTATTAATAAAGGCAGAAACTATTTATCAAACATGGGCCTTGAAAGCCCCAAAGGTTTTTATATACTCACCCTGGTGTAAATCAGAAGTAAGTGTAGTGCAGTCAGTGATGTTACACTGGGTGGGCAGAAATCAGGCCGAGAATGCCTGAAAGGAGGTGTCTGCAGAAGAGACTGCCTCACACTAGACCATTCAGCTCTTCATCAATTCCTGTTTCACAAATTATGACTAAAACTTTTAATTACAAACAATGAAAAGTCCCACTAAGCTGCACTTCTTTTGTGACTTAACACAGTGACAAAGCACACCAAAATGAACCCACAGAAATGCCAAGGAAAGACAACAACCCTGTGGACAATCCTCTGGATGCTACAGCCCAAACAACTCAGGACCTCGACATAGAAAAAAAAGTGTCACTTTATGTAATCCGCTCTGCTGTGTACCTCAGCTACCTGCACAATGTGCAGGTGGCATATGACCTGCAAGAGTCTATTCTCCTGATTTTTTCCAAACTGTGTGCCCCTGGTCTAGAGTCCAGGCCCTCACAATGCTGCAGTTAGGGCCCCGACGTGCCACTTCTAAAGGATTCAGCAGTGTCAGTATGTGGGATGTATTGCAAAACATTCAAATTAGTCAGGGCAAAGTGCCTTTTCTGAAGCACCAAATGGAAGGATCTTATGCTGGTTGTGTTCACACTTTATGCACAGAGATGAATAGTAGTCCAGCATTTGGTAAAAAAATTTTACACGTTTGAACATGTAGTTGCAAGGATTAAACATACCTTTCTGAACTCTTCACAGTTTTGTATGCTTGTATTATCAGCTCCTAGTTTTGTAATAAAAATTTTACACGTTCAAAAACAACTGTTATATTTCCTATTTATAGATTTTTCTTGTTGCCTGCATTCTCTCAGACACCTCTGATGAAGGTTATGGCAAAAAAATATTAGATCACTGCTTTTCACAGAGAACACAAATCTGTGCTTTCATGACATGGGCCTCATCCCAGACAGATCTTTTTATATCATAAAGAAAATATACTGAAAACTCTTAACAGCTTTTGAGCAGAAGTACTAATGTGGCTTTAGCAACACACATAATTTGTCAAATGCAGCTATCTTCATGCCTACCACCTCTCTTTAATGTATGTATTTGCACTACCTTATTCATTCACTTCACATACTATGATCAAAGACTCAAAATGGTCCCTCAAACCATGCAAACCTACTGTTAAGAGATTAAACTAAGAAAGTCTCAAACATCAGAATCCAAAAATAATAACAAGTATTTACAAGAACAGAAAATTAACTCTATATAGTGTTTATCTTATTTTGAAAACTCTACTTTGACTAAATCATAAAGTAGACAGAATTATGGAATTCCAGTGCTGTAAAGTTACAGCAGCAGTTGACAGCTCCTGGAGTATGTCTCAGTGGAATCGAAGACATTAAACACAGGCACATTTTTTCTATGCTATATTAATTAGAGCAAGTGATATAGTTGAAGGAAAAAGAGCTTTATCTTTCTGGCCTAAAATTATTTCTTTGGGTTTGCAACAGATAGAGCGAGTTTCAAACAAGCTGACCCTGGTATAAACCTGAGGAAAATCTTACTTAGACAGCAGCACACCTCTTTTCTCTACATGTATTGAGTTACTCCTTTCT